AGATCATAAACCCCTCACTTTTGCTTTCAAACACCGTTTAGACAAAGCCTCGCCGAGACAATTACGATACTTGGACTATATTGGACAATTCACTTCTTCTATTGAATACATAGCAGGGAGAGAAAACATTCCAGCTGATGTATGCTCAAGAATATCTTCAGTAAATGTTCCATTACAAGTTACTCTGGATGAAATTGCTAGATCTCAAGTAAATGACGAGGAACTCAATCAGCTGAAGCAGTCCAAATCTTGTTCACTCAAATTTCATTCCATTGTACTTCCGAGTGGTGGGGAATTAATTTGTGATTATTCGAATGAGCAGCTGAGACCATTCGTAACCAAGAAATACAGACGAATTATTTTCGAGACAATACATAATTTGGCACATCCCGGAATCAAAACATCCTTGAACATGGTAAAGAAACATTTCATATGGCCGTCTATCAATCGAGATTGTATAATTTGGGCCAAAAGTTGTATTCCATGTCAGAGGTCAAAGATTTGGAAACACAATGTCTCACCTGTTGGTGTGTATAATACTGTAGAAAAAAGATTTGCTCATATTGACATCGACATAGTAGGACCTCTTCCATCATCCCAAAATTTCTCATATCACGTCACGATGATTGACAGATTTTCACGTTGGCCAGAAGCTGTACCTGTCCAGGATATTTCGGCAGAAACAGTGGCTAGAGCTTTAATGTCTTCGTGGATAGCTCGTTTCGGAATTCCAAACATTATAACAACAGATAGAGGTAGACAATTCGAATGCAAGTTGTTCGAGTCTTTGACAAAATATCTTGGAATTCATCACATCAAAACAACAGCATATCGTCCAGCTTCGAATGGAAAAATAAAACGTTGGCACCGATGCTTGAAAACTGCTTTGAGAGCTCAATTATCCGAAAAATGGTCCGAAAAGTTACCTGTTATACTATTAGGCTTACGATCTTATTTGATTCCAGAATATAATACAACAGCTGCTGAAATATTATATGGAGAAGGAATAAGGCTTTCAATAGATTTCTTTCAAGAAACCAAATATGATTCAAATATTCCAAATTTAGTTTTTAATTTGAAAGAACATATGGCACAGATAAAACCTGTTATGGTTGGACATCATTCTGTAAGGAAGGCATTCATTCACCCAGAACTAAGGACTACGAGTCATGTGTTCATACGTCGCGATGCACATCGAAGACCATTGCAACCTGTTTATGATGGCCCATTCCCAGTTATTAGCAGATCTGATAAATTTTTTGACATTGAAACCAGTAAAGGAAGAAAGACCATCTCTATAGATAGAGTGAAACCTGCATTTATCCTGAATGAAGACAATGAAACTCTTTTGAGCCAAAATCAAAAACTGACCAATCAAACTGAATTCGCGAAGACGAAGTCTACCAGAAACGTGGAATTTCTCACGAAATCTCAGGACGTTGTCACTGGGGAGGGAGTATGTGGCGGTAGCTGACCGGCAGTAGCTGACCCCCAGTATGTGCAAGTTGGATGTCAGATGTCATGAAAAATGTGAGGGAATTATAGCAAGAACGTGCAGAAAATTCAATGAAACGTATCCTGATCTACAACCAATTAACAAAATTAAGTTTGTACGATTACAACATAATTTCATTAATCATCTGTCAAAGATTAGAAAACGTTCACAATAAATTTTCAAAATACCGACCATTGGCTCCCAAACATTTCAAAATCCGGGTATTTGGATATACAGTTGTAGCCCTCCTTATTTCACTGGCATCTAGCTCTTCAATGCAGTTGATCACTCGTTGGCGCAGGTCTTGTTTACTGTGCACTGGTGTCATGTATGCTTTTCTCTTCAATTCACCCCACAAGAAAAAATCAAGTGGCGTGAGATCGGGTGATCTCGCAGGCCAATTCCACGGACCCAAACGTCTGAACCAGCGATCGTCGAACATTTCGAACAACTCCGTTGTTACCTCCCTAGTGCAATGAGCCGGTGCTCCATCCAGTTGAAACCAACTGCTACGATACTCTTCTAATGACAGATTGTTCAAGAAGTCGTTCACAAGTGACCTTAGAATTTGAAGATATTTCGCAGAATTCAACGTTTCATCGTAAATAAGGGTTATCCTTTAGAAGGCAAGATACGTTGAAACTAAACTTTTCCTGATATCCCATTTCCTTGACAACATTTGGATTTTGATCAGCCCAGAAATGCTCGTTCCTTCTATTAGAAATTCCTTCTCTGGAAAATTTTGATTCGTCTGTCCAAATTACTTTTTTCAAGAAGTTAGGATCTTCTTGGATGCGAATGAGGATTGTTTCGCAAAATTGTATCCTATTTTGATAATCTTATGGTTTTAGAGCTTGAACTTTTGTAAACTTGTATGGGTGCATGTTATGATTATGAAGGATCCTTCGAACAGAAGCACGATCCAAGCCTAAATCATATTCGGCACTTCTAGTGGAAGCTTGGGGATCACCGTGGAAATACGCCAAAACATTTATTATATTGTCTTCATTTGAAGTTACAGGCTTCGGTAAATGTCGTTCCGTTTTCAATTTTGATCCATAATGAATGAAATTATGTTGTTATCGTACAAACTTCTTTTTGTTAATTGGTTGTAGATCAGGATACGTTTCATTGAATTTTCTGCACGTTCTTGCTATAAATTTCTCACATTTTCCATGAAGAATAAACAATTTCATCAGAACTTCGTTTGAATAGTTATTTTCCTCCATTTCAATTCTTTTTGAGTCACTTCCGTTGAGAAACACACAAAGGTATCATTACTAATACACTAATTGTCAAATTTTCATAATGCCATGTACCATCATGACATTTAATAGCCACCTTAGATGAATATGAGAAGAATAATTCGATGTTTTTAGGAAATTGCTCCTATCTCGGAATTCTGGCTATTTAGGTATAGGATCATGATATATCAACTCGAAGGGAATTCAGCCATCTTTCAGGATATTTCATAATATACGGGGTGTTCTATTTAAAAAAACGCACATTCAACCCTTTTTGTATCTAGCAGTAAGATCATGAATTTTGAACGACCATGTATAACGCAGAACAAACTTCTCTCTACAGAATCAATATACATGATCTTGATGAACTAAACACAAAATTGCAACTCCCTGAGAATCCAAATACCGCAGAAATAAACATTCAATTCGAGCTATGTTTTTGATAAAAAGTATGCGAAATAATCAATATCTCAAAAACCGTTAGAGATAGGTATAGGAGAGTATAAGGCAGAAATAATCATGAAGTGATGATAAGTTCAAAAATGCAATAATATACAGGGTGTCCCATTTGCAATAACAAAGATGCTGCTGCTTTCTGGTATAAGCGGCAACGCCTGAAAATATTTTAGTTCGATAGATCAAGAGCAATTTCTTGAGTAACCAAATTTTCAGAATGATCTCATGTCCCGTTCTCCGTAAACGTCTAAGGTGCCATCGACCGTGACCCACCCTGTATATACCCAAAGCAAATTCATGCAAAATCCCTGGAACATGGTATCAAAAATGAGGACAGAGCTTTGAGAGAACCAGAATCATTTTTGAAAATGAAAATCAATAAATGCGGCCTTTTCATCGATGACTCCATCCCTTTTATAGCAGCTACACCAGATGGAATTATGGAAAATGGAAAAGCCATTGTAGAAATCAAATGTCCCTTCAGTGCTAAAGACCTCACACCAGATGAGGGGATAGCAGTCCGCAAAATTACATTCTGGACGAAAAATGGTGATATGAACATGAACCACAATTGGTATAACCAAATCCAAGGACAGCTAGAGGTTTGTGATTGTGAGTTGTGCTATCTGTGTGTTTGGACAGAAGAGGGAATGAAAGTACAGGAAGTGAAAAGAGATAAACTATTCTGGAAGGAAAAAATGGAAGGACCCATACAATTTTTTTATTTACAGTTCGTTTTGCCAGAGTTGGTAGATAGTAGGGTCAATAGAGGAACGGAAATTAGAATATAATAAAAAATGATATTTCAACATTATCTCTATTTTTTTTTGCATATATCCAGTTCAGTTATTTCAATAAACATAAATTTGCTTCTCGAAAGAAATAATATTTCTCTCTTAGTGAAATATGCAAGTAAGTCATATTTTATAAATCAATGATGATTGCGAACAAAAGTTACCTACTTATACTCGTCAAGTATTCACAAAATTGTTCAAAATTTTCAATCAACCAAACCATAATGGTTCATTCGCACTATAGAAAGAACAAACAGAAATTCAACAATAATCAACAAGTGATTCCACTTGAGTGATGAGTGTATGCAGCTCGGACAAATCGTTACCAGAATAGTAGCTTTCTATCATTCGAATCATAGCTATGATTTTGGGTTAGTGAAAATCTATGTGTCAGATATTTTTGAAAGAGCGTGCGTGTACCAAAAGTATTTCTCATTAGGTAACTGGTTCCTAACAAAAAGATGTGAAGCTTCAATTATTTTTCAACATTAGCATCATATCCCAAAATCGACAAATACATATATTCCTTTCTTACATACGCCACTTACAGCTAGAGCTTGAAATGATTCCATAAGCCATACAATGTTGAAAACATAACACGATCTTTCGCAGCTGCAATAGTGTATGGTGTATTATAAAACTCAGTACATTTTTTATGGAACCAATTCTCACAAAAATCGCAGCCAATATTCTTTTTTTCTTCATCTTCGGTGTCACTGTTCAAATTTGCATGGCATAAGGCACAGGGAACCTTTTTAATTTTTGCTGAGGTTTCTGCAGGAACTTTTCTGACATTTTTTCTTTTCTCGTTGGACAATTCATCTTGTAGTCGGCTTTCTTTGAGTCGCTTCCTGACCTCTTTCTTTTTTTGAATTTCCATACTTTTTTGTTGTTTTTCACTATCTTTCCTTCTATAGTATTCCCTCCATTTATCACAGGAAATTGCACTTGGTGCATTGCCCATTTTCTTTCTATTAGTGTTCTTACTTCTCTTGATAGGATCAGGATACGTTAAGTGGTTGTCAAATGCTTGACTAAGGGGTAGTAGCGAACCTCGGTCATTTTTATTTGCAAGGCTTTCAGATGGTTATTGCAGTGTTTCAGATGGTTGTTGCAGTGTTTCAGATGGTTGTTGCAGTGTTTCAGATGGTTGTTGCAGTGTATGAGATGGATGTTGCAGAGTTTCAGATGGTTGTTGAAGTGTTTCAAATGGTTGTTGCAGTAAATCAGATGGTTCTGGCAGTGTTCCAGATGGTTGTCGCAGTGTTTCGGATGGTTGTTGCAGTATTTTAGATGGTTGTTGCAGTGTTTCAGATGGTTGTTGTAGTGTTCCAGATAGTTGTTGCAGTGTTTTAGATGGTTGTTGCAGTGTTCCAGATGGTTGTTGCAGTGTTTCAGTTGGTTGTTGCAGTGTTCAAGATGGTTGTTGAAGTGTTCCAGATGGCTGTTGTACTGTTTCAGGTGCATTTACTATTTCATTTTGTTCGAGATTTGTTTCTGAGTTTTCTTTTTCAAATTCTGGGCTATTGACATCGACAACGAATACGTCTTTTTCACGATGTGGGGAGTCAATCTCATGAACGTCATCATTTTCCTGTATGTTCTGGTCGAGGTCCTGGTTGATAGTTGAGCTGAGGTATTCGAAGTTCACTAGTGGTCGAGAACTGAAGATGATCAAATTGGTTTTCGACCATCAATAAATAAATTGCAAAAACAAATATCATTTAGATCTAATTTGATGGTCGCGAACTGATATTTAATAAGTAGATATGTTAATTAATCAGTATATAAAGAAAAAATCAAACATTTCTCTAAGGAAGTATATTTTTAGGAATAATCAATTATTCAAGATAGACATTGGTTCTCGACCACTTCGGTCGAGAAATAAAAAAGCTTATTTTTGTGATACGGGTCCGCGACCACCGAATAATTAACGAAAAAGTAATATTTATGTGTGTTTTTTCTCGAAATATAGAAAGAACTATATCTACTTGTTACTATAAAACAAAATACATATGCCTGATTCATTCAAAATGAATCTTACTTACTATTTCGTATCCTGTTATCAACTAGCACTTGAACTTGGGCGAATACGCAGCCTCTCTCAACGGCAGACGGTAATTGACTGATTTTTGGCGCGAAAAGCTCGATTGTTATGCCCACTTTGCCGGCTGTTTCGAATTCGGAGAAGTGGTCGAAAACACATGTAACGGTCATTTTTTTGAAACAAGGAATATATCTCATATTATTTTGTGTCAAATGACAGAATGGTCGGGAACCAGTGCCGGTCGGTTAACCAGTGCATCTACCCTCCATCTCAAAGAAAGAGGACGGCTGTTGATTTATGACTAGTTTGTTACCGCCCATAGCTGCTTCCTGATTTTTCTACCTGGAAAAAGGACATTACAAAAACTTACAAACGTTAACTTTTTTTGCCAGATATTTGACATCTTTTGTCTTTGATTAAGTTGTCTATTTGTGGCGTGAATTTACCGGCGGAAATAACTTTTAAAACTGCGTCCAAGTGTGCGTCCGTCAATCGCGATCTTGCGGGAGACTTGTTTCGTTTCACCAAAGAAAATAATTGTTCACACTTATAGGTACTTCCAAACATTGACAGGATTTTACAGGCAAGTTTTCCCATTTCTTGGTATTGAAAAGGCAAATACTTATAAAATTCGAATGTACCAACACTATTAAATTTTTCTTTTAAATGGGTTTGACACTGAATCTCAATCACTTCCATCTGCAAGTGAGGGAGAACTTTATCAATATCGATAGTGAAAAAACCAGTAAATACACGGTAAAAAGTTTCGAGTAAAATTCAACACAAAATGAAATCAATGTTTCGTTAATCCAGGTCCACGCCCGATTGTGTTGCAATTTCAACACCGGACTTTCGAGTTATATTCACTCAAAAATTTGCAAGAAGTCAACACATTCATGAGTGAATATTTGCACAATTTTGAGAGGATTTTCGTCAAAATCAGCGTTGATATGTATGTACACAATTTTTAGTGATAATTCACAATATATCTGTGAATAATCACTAAATACTGTGCTAATCCTTCACACAACTTTTGGATTATATTCACAAGGTTATGATGAATCTGATAACTCAATATTGTGTTTTTCCTCAAATGGTTCACCCTACCCTATGCAGGGTAGGTTGTACAGACAGATGCGAAGAACATGTCGCGGGTGGATGGTGTTTGAGCTCTTATTGCAGAAGTAACCAGAGGTGCTATCACCGCCCATGTGCGACATGTTCATTGCATCTAACTGTATCATTTGAGGTAGGTAGGTATAGAAAATAGAATAGAATATAGGAGATTTTCATTAGTGAAAGAAGGTTTTTTGATAAAAATATTATTTAGTTTGAAAAATACAGTATTTTATTCATGTATCAAAATATAATGAAAAGAAATCCCTATCAGTTAAAAGTAGTTGGACTGAGCATTGATGATTATATACAGCTTCCTATATATAGGTGAGCTGTCTTATAATGACCGAACTGAAGAAAACGGGTGGATAAAGAAAACAATTCCCATCAATTAAATCTGTGAGATCAACGCTTACATACTGAAGAACAAAAAAATAAAAAAAGGTTAAAAACATGAGGAATTATTTGGTACTGAAAAAAACTGGAACGAAATGAATAGACGAAGATATTCCACAGAAAAAATAGTCAAAACATTTATGAATAAACTCTGATCAAACCCAAATGATTGAAATAATATAGAGCCATCCAAAACAGTGATCCATTCATCATCAACAGAATATATGTTTCGGTGTTGAATAATAATCAGTGGTATGGTATGGCTGATGTAGTTCATATGCTTCTTTATAAAAAATACTATCAAAATCAATGAGTTGATAGTTACTTTGGAGTTCCTTTTCAATTTTAAAACTCGTCAATTTAGGATCGAAAAGAATGGTATGTGATGGATTACAAATGAAATATAATTTCTCTTTAATAAACACCATCTCAATAATTTCTTGGAACCTTGGTAGATTTGTTTCATCGTCTACACTGAGGCAGACGACAAAATGTTTCCTGTATAAATATCCCTTCTTGATCCACATAAGTCTTGTTATAATTACGTCGTCTTGAATATCTAATGAATTCTTTACTAATTCTTTTTTTATCGTAATTTTGCAATTCGATGCTGGAGAGCACATGATACTGTGTAATCATTTCGGGAGACAAATTACAAAACAATTCTTGATGACGATACGATTAAGTTTTTGCTAAATTTCTGGAAATTCCTAATTTTGAAGCTAAATTTTTGAAAAATGAATGTTTTGCCTCGAACCTCATGCTCCACAAATGAATTAATGGCCCTATCATTTTAATAGCTCGTGGATAGTGAATCATGAAATGATGTTTTGGTGTCAAAAGATGATCGAAATGTTCTTTATAAAGACAGTGGTGATCAAATATTAGCTTTTCTAGAGTAGTAATCATACCTCTTGTAATTTTCGGAGCAAATATAATATGCATTATTTATAATAGTATTATTATAACCTCCCATGCAGGTTATTGATTAGACGGGTCACATATAATATCTGATTATTTGTCCAAATTCAAGATGCTAGGTCTTTCACTTGAATGTATAACTCCGAAACTAAATGCTTTGATTCTACTATTGATCGAGTCCAAACATGGACGTATAAAAAGAGAAGGACACAGCAACTCTATACTTTCAGCATGTAATGTTTTGAAGTCTTAGAGATGTAGGCAAGCGGGTTAAGGGGAAGGAAAACGGTAACGATAGACTGTGCTATTTCCTCAAACGACAGCGGCGTGCGAAAATGAATCATCGTGATAGTAAATTTCGGAATGCAAAATGCAAAGAGCGACTAAAAACTGAATACTAATCACTATATGACCGTATATCAATCCGGGTCGCTATGGGTTATACCAAGTGAACATAACAAATACAGATTTGTGTTTTCACATATTGAATAATGGATTTTATATAACTGTGGTGTGGTAAACTGGTACGCAAAATAGATTATTGAAATAATGAAAATTCGGTACTATTTAAGGAATCATTGAAAGTTCTGTATCTTTTTCCATATGGTACACCAACAAACCAACTATAAAGAGTGTCCCAAAATTGCTGGGACACAGAACTACCACGTGTAATGAGGTCAAAATAAATTTATATACACTATGTTATCTTTTTTGACCCCCTGAAGAACAGCTTTTTCTTTGATCAATTGATGATCACTCAATCCGATCAGTTTGGAAATCTATTTGATAACGATGCAGATGCAAAATACTGTCAATTATATCCTCATTCATAGCTAACAGTTTATGAAATGGATAAGGATTATTACTAGACAATATGACTGATTATCATCTCATTTTCATTTCTGAAACTATAATACATCATATACTTGCCTCTATATGACATGTAATGCAAATAACACAGAAATAAAAAAATTAGTAATAAAAAATATAGAATCATAGGAGCCAGATAACTACAATTTCTATCACATCACGAATGTATAATAATAATGACAGACGCCTGTCAAACCGCAGTGCTAATGAGTCGTCGTCGAGAAAACTCTGATATCCACAAAAAAGTGCATCCTTTATTATTTCGATAAATATTGTTTTGATATGCCTATAACTGGATGGCAGTAGATTTTCTATCGTTTCCACAATTGTTTCTGATTCGACTCCCCTTATTATTCCTGAGGTTATCCTAATTCAAATTATACGCGTTAATAAACGTTTATAACGTTTTATTTTTCAAAATATTCCATGATTCTTGAACTCAAGAAATATTGATAATAATAATAAGCCAACGGAAAAAAAATTGCCGCAATTTTTCTATCACGTGTGCTTTTATTAATTAACAATTTTCAACAAGTTGAACAGAAAATCCCTGATAATTGTCAAGTCAAAATCTATGTTTCTTACAGATATTCTTCAAAGGCTCAAGAAACGATGCGCGTTGGATAAATTAGAAAATTGCGGTTTTTCAAATTTTTATAAATAATAGACATTGAAAGATGAAAAAATAAATGAAGCATTGGGAAATTTTCTTCTCCAAATATCAGATTTTGTTTTATTTTTTATCAACAGCTGAATAAAAATGATTTTTTTGAATTTTTTACTCCAATTTTTTTTGTTATAATTTAATTGTTATAAACAAATGCATTGTTCATTTAACACAAACCAATTTTTTTTCAATCACTCATAAAAATAATGATTTTTAAGAAAAAAATGGTTTCCTAAACAAAATTATTGCTTTAAAATGCATTCGTTCATAATCAACAATTTTTTCATGCAGGTGAATTTTGATATCAAGGAACCGTTTTTTTTTTCAAATATCATAATTTATATTACTCATCCATATTCTAAAAAAAAAAAAAAAAAAATTATAATAACATTATAAATAAGTGAATTTTGGCGTTATATTTTTTTTTTCAAATCAACCATGTATATTTTT